GTGGCACAGCTAAGCGTTCTTTGCAGGGCCCTAGAAAACACTTAAGGCTGGGGATCTGGCAAGAGGCCAGCCTGTGAACAAACAGGATGTGGACTTCAGTTGGCCTTTAAAGTCTAGTGGTACCTGAGGACTAGAGAAATGAAAGACATTGAGCATTCTAATTTGTTTGCAGAGCTAACAAGACTATATAATCTTTGAGAACAGAAATGTCATTGAATGCAGGAATGATACTCATAACTACCTCTGGTATTTAACATAGGACCTGGCAGGTAATAGGTTCTCAATAAAAGTAGCCTAAATAAATGGATGGAGGGATAGATGACCATTAGTTGAGTGGGTAAGTGGATGGATGGAAGGAAGAGTGAATGACTAGATGAATGGGTAATCATTAGAGGCAAATTGAATGTTTATTTCTTCACCACTGTTATAAAGCATAGAATCACATGTATAAAATTCTACTGAGTCCCTATAAGTTGTTGTATTGAGATCTGAGCTCTAACTCTGACAGAATAATATGGTTAAAAAATCAACTCAGTCTAAAATCCAAAAATAGTACTTGACCATATAAGAATTCCGTCATTTCTGCTCTCTATTCTGCAAGCATGAAATTTTGCTTATAGCAAAGAGCAGACCCCACCTCTAGGGCTGGCCGCTCCCAGCAGGAGTGAGGCCCCAAACAGCCATGTGTATACAGACATACTAGTTCCTCAGAGATATGTGGGTTCAGTTTCAGATCACCACAATGAAGCGAGTATTGCAACAAAGCAAGTCGTAATTTTTTTGCTGGTGGAGAGTCTTGCCTTCAATTTGTAAAAAACACAACATCAAAGCGAAGGGCAAATAAAACGAGGCACGCTGTGCTTTGAAACCTAGTCACCTGGCCTGGGCTTGGCCCACTAGAGTCTCTCCCAGAAAATCGACAATGTTGAATTGAGAGCTGGGAGAAGGTACTAACTGAATCAAGTTCATGTCCGAGCTAGAACATCCACAGGGAAATGTTGCTGCTAGGATGCCCAGGGCTGCCTAGCTGTTCAGCTGCTCCGCGCATTCACAAGGCAGCAAAAGCCAGGCGCTGAGCTGACCTCCCAGCAGAAGCTCTCAGAGGAACTGCAGCCATCCTGAAGGTTCCCACGGGTTGGGCAGGGACCTGCTCACCTGAGAGGAATCACATTTCCTCATCTCCTTCTCCTTCTTTGCCAGACGCTTCTTTTTCTTATGAAGAGGTTTGGACTCCAAAATCATTTCTTCAAGTTCAAAGGTGGGGTCGCAATTCAGCCTGCCTTTCTGCAAGGAACACAGGTTGGCTCACTCCCTAGATCCCTGTATCAGTCCAAACTACACCTGAGCGAGTGTGGAGACAGACACGTGGGCCTAAAGGATCATCCCAAGGGTAACGAGCTAGGATTCCCACGCTAATTTTGGATAATGTTTTGCCAGCATTGTTTTTCACATTCGTTAGTTTTATATTTTGTTTATTTTTCTAAACTCCCAATGAGCCTCCTGAGGGTTGAGTTGAGAGGAAACCAATGAGAATTGTTTTTCTAAAGTTTGATTTTAAAAAATTCCCAGGTGATTCTAATGTGCAGCCAAGGTTGAGAACCACTGATGCAGACCATTAGAATCACTTGAGTTGTTTGCTCAGCTTCCCAGTTCCCCAACTGCACGCGAGAAAATTGCACGTTCCACAAGCTCCCCACGTGATTCTGATCCACAATAAAGTCAGAGCTGTGTGTGGAGGGCCTCTTGGTGCGGAACTGATGGTTACTTGTCGGGGTGCGGGTTGTGGACGCAGCAGGAGGATCCGGTGTCACCTGTCAGCCTGGTACCAGCCACCCCTACCGGACTCGGCAAAGTGGCCAGGTAAGCCCTTGCCCCCACCCGCTGGCCTCTCCATCAGGTCGTGATTCTCCACCCTCAGAATCCCAGCACACGCCTCTCCCTGAGCGCCCTGACCTGGACTCCGGTCGGCCACAGATGCCCCCTGGCCAGGGACTCATCCAGTGGGAATGATTTCCCTTTGGCTCTTAGTCATTACGAATAGAAGAGGGATGAATGGTAAAAAGAAATGCCTCACCCCAGCCCTAACAGGTTTCAATACTTTGACTCACAGAACCTCAGGTACACAAATTCCTACATCTTTGGAATCAGAGAAAGCATCATTTTTTCAATTGGCAGATGCCTGGAAAGGACAACAGCAGGTCTTTGAGGTTTTGTTTCATTATAACGTTGAGGAGACGTGTAGGAACTTAAGCCTTGTTTTTATCAGCCAGCCAATGGTAAAACTGGTTTCATTCTATGCCACTTCTCTTAAAGTCACAGAGCCTATTTATGACGTTAAGTGAGGACTGTGTATTAGGAGGATTAGATCTTCTTTGGAAAAAGAAAAAAGCATGCCATAACAAGTGGTTAGAAGCTGGAACTCCAGATACAGATAGAGCTGGATTGGAATTCCCACTCGGCTACTTGGTAGCCACGGGACTCTTTGGTGGCCAAGTTACCTGTGTGTGCCTCAGTGTTCTCATCTGTAAAATGGGAATTTGGGCTGTCTCACAACACTGATGTGGTTATCTAACCAGACCAAGTGCATATCTAGCACTGCATGAGAGTTATTATTGGTTTGTTAGGATTGACTCACGTTAGGAATGAAACCTGGAATGAGCCTCTTCTGTAAAACCGCATCCCAGTTCACATCACTCATATATGGGAAGTTCTGAAGGTCAGACAAGTGAGAAAACCGGTGGTCTGGATTAGGTTCAAGTAGCTGCCAAAGGAACAGAAACATTAAGATCACGAGGAAGGTCAAAATGGGGCCAAAAACCCCCACACAAATTCCCTCTAAATGTTTTCAAGTGTAGGATTGAAGGAAATAAGGCATCATCCCCCTTCCCTGACCCCATAAACAAATAATACAGATAAGGCCCAGTTAGAATGAATTGTAGGTGGTTGTTTTTTTTTTTTGCAAGGTGGAGTGTGAAAACAGCTTCAACTGTGGAGTCAAACGTCTCTTTGATGGTTGATTCCCCTATTTTATTAACTATGGGCAAGTTTATCCTCTAAATCTCAGTTTACCCATCTATTAAAAGGGGATAGTAACCTATTTCATAAGGTTGCAGCTAGGATGAAATGAGGCCATGTCTATACAGTGCTTAAGAGAAGGTCTGTTCTTATTAGGGGAGGAACGTGCGCACATTTTCACAAATGAAATTCATTTCCCACTAAAAATTTTAGCTGTTCTTACAACTAACCAAAATATATTGGGGGTGACACAGAGAAGATGTAACTAAGGTAACTGTTATAGTTCTGGGTTTTATAAACTGGGATTAAAGATTTTCCCCCCCTTAACCACTCCAGAGCCAACGATGCCACATCAACCCTGTGGTTCTAATGGAAAGTGGCAATTCCACCTGAGAATTGTTCTGGAGGGGATAACCTGGGATCACCAGGGTAGAAATTTGGGGTGAAGAGGCTGTCTTGAAACTGAAGAAAATTTGCTTATGGGAAATGACCACCTGTTCATCTTTGACATAACCAATGGCAATGTCCCAATTCCAAAACAAATGAACTTGACCCCCAAGGCAAGAGACACAGGTTTGACTCTTTGACCTGCCATCACCTGTGAAATTTTCTTTCCTGAAAAAAGCCACACCCATCCTCTTGGGGTCCATATTCTTTACACACTATCATTCGACACACACTGTTGAGCTCCTGCTACAAATAAGATGAATCCACTGACGATGTGCTGAGAGGCAGTAGCAATATCAAATTGCTAAAAATATTTCTGAATGTTTCTTTCAATTTCTGTACTTGTCATGAACCTGAAGAAACAATTCATGGCCTTGAACTAATCAGTGAATCACACTGAATGGTCCTGGTCTAAGGGAGGGAGCTGGAAGAGTTAGGGAGGGGACAGTGGGACTAGCATGTGCAAAGGGCCTGTGGTGAGAGACAGATATGTGAGAGTGAGATGGGGGAGGGGAAACAAAAGAGAAAAAGACTAAAGTGGTCTATGTGTTATCAAAAGGGGGCAAAAGTCCAAAATAAGGCTTGAGAGGTAGTTAGAACTTTTACATCATACAAATTATTTTGATCTTTATTCTAAGAACAATGGGAAGACAACAAAGTGTGCTTTGAACAGATCATTATGGGACAGAATGGAGTGTGTAGAAGTGCACAGGGCAAGCCAATGATAAGACTTGATGGCCGTAGGGTTGGGAAGACAGTCATGGAGATGGAGGGAAGTGACAGATTCAAAGAATACTTAAAAGGTCAAATTACAGAGCTTGGTGATGGATTGGATATGGGGGTGATGAATGATTTCTGGTTTCTGGCTTGCATAAGTGATTGGATGGAGAGGCCAGTCACTGAGTTGGGAAGCTTGGAGAAAGTCCAGGAAATACAGAGAGACCGAGACTCCGTTTCAGGCACGCTGAGTGTGAGGTGGCTTTGGCACATACAGGAGGACATGTGCATTGCCTAATGAAGCCATGCGTCTGAAAGCTGGAAATGCACACTATCATGGCCGCCTCCAATACTGTGTACTAACTCTAACCAGAGCGCATGCTGCTGTTTTAGCGTTTCTTTTTGTCATGTGATCCTCCTCCTTCTTACCTTTCTAAGAAGTGACACCATTTCCTGTGACCAGGCAGAAGGGTAAGGCACAATAGCCGTCTCAAACATGTGTGCAATTTCCTTGCTGGAAGTACTGGAGCGAATATGATACGGTCTCTTAAGGGAGAGAGGAAGGAAACGTCTTCATGTTTACAGGGTAAAAGAAAAAATCACACACACATTGCTTTGCAAATGTTTCAAGTTAAACTTTCAACCAGGAAAATCTCAGTATCATTTTCTTATCCCCTCTAGCTGTTGCCGTGTTGGCATATACACATATGGTCCATCCTGTGTTGCCAGTTTTGAAATCTCAGAATTTTTAAAAGTTATTAATTATTCTGGGTCAAACAAAACATTTCTGTGGGCTAAATCCACCTCTGAGGTACTAATTTGGAATAGTTTTATAAGGTAACTTATAGAGGAATTTTTATAAAACACTGTACATGTTTCATAAAATTCAGTAAATTGAAATTTTAAACTCTTGTTAGTTTGATTCTAAAGAGATCCAGAGTTTACCGTACTTCTCTCTTCAATTGTTTGAATCATAATGAATACATTCAGAATAGAAAGTTACCCAGAGGACTTCAACCCTGTCCCAAAAGTCATGCGTCCCTGGTTCTATGAAGTGGGGTGGCAAGTTTTATGATGAGGCAAAAATACTTTTACTTCTGAGAAAACCAGGTTCTTCTATAGTTTTAACTTCGGTGGGGTTAAAAAAAAAAAAAAAAAAGTGGTTTTATTACAGTTTTCATAAATGTCCACAAGAGGGCAGCCTTTACCTATAGCAATTCTATTTCATAAAGGAACCCATGCTGGCATTTTCTCTTTTATGTGAACTGGGAGCTACTAAACCCCAGAGGTTCATACTATACTCACATTTTCCCCAGGGGTCCTAGCACCTAGTAGGTGCTTATTACATGCCTGTTGAATGAACAAAATTTCCATGTTGGTCTATCCATTAGTAGGACAGCTAAAATGGATATGTACATGTATCAAGGGTCTGCCCTTTCGAGATACTTAGTCAATAATTGTGGACTGATGAACCAAATTGGAAGAAATGGAGGAGTTTATTTTTTCCCTGTTGTAACTCAGTATTAAAAGGTAATATAATTAAGTGTTTGAGCTCTGAAGGCAAAAGAATGTGAGGACTAAATGGAGCCACTCAATTTGGATTTCAATTCTTTCATCTGTAAAAGGAACCACCTCATGAGATTGTTGGGAAAATTGAATGGCACAATGCATGTAAAGTTCACAATACAGTGGCTAGTATATATTAGACACGATATAGGAGAAATATTTTATGATTACTGACGTGGGGTAAAAAGGTGGATATAAATGTGAACAGTGACTCATCCTACAGGTGGAGAAAGGCTTAATGCACACGGCATGCCGATGTCCATTCTCAGGGAACCATGAAGTGCTAGGAGTTGACCTCCCAAAAAGATGACTGGCCCAAAGTTATTTTTATAGGCAAGGTTTAAACACACCTGTCCTATGTTTTCTTCCCTCAAGATGCAATAAAGGACCAATGCTAATTTTGGTCTCAATAACCATATAATAGAAATAACCCATGCAACCCAATATCAGAAGATGAGTACCAGGTACCTTATCACTATTATCAGTGTTTACTGACTGCTGACTAGGTGAAGGGCACTGTTGTCTCTACTGGGATTCATTCCGTGTATACCATTAAGAGTCGGGGCATGTTTGGCATGGTAGGGTCCAGGGTTACATACGTGTGCAACATCAATCTTTTTTCTAATTTCCTTCTTTGACTCATTGCTGCTTCTCAACCTACTGTTTCTTAGCCATCTAAAATCACAAATGATTTAATAAGTGAATAATTAACTGATGAATGCCACAAGCAACTGGCTTAAGAGTGTTTTCATTTATTGGAAGGCCGTACAACTGATTTTTAATATTTTTTAAAAAATCCTCATGGCCTATCAACTTGTTAAAAATAATCAAACTGCCTTTCTCTTCTATGACATTTTTCTAGTTCTAAATTTAAAAATCCATGTTAATTCATGAACTACTAGGATTATATATTTCCTCATTTACCAAATATTTATTGAATGTCTAGTATGTTCCAGCACCTCTATTGGGCATTGTGGATGAAGAATAACAATGAGACAGACATAATTTCTATGTTGGTGGAGCTTAACATCTCCCTAGCGAAACCACAAATAGTTATATAGACTATACACACATGCTTCAGTAAATTTAATTCATGCTATAGAAAAAATTACAATGTACATGATAAGATGCATCAAATAATTCTAAGGCAGCATATTAAGAGTGAGAATATAAAGAATGGACGAAAGTGGAAAAGGTAAAAATGTAGATGGGAGAAAGTGATGTTTTATGATTATATAATATTTCCAGAGTACACAGCAAGAATTGTAGCTAGGAATGTACACTTAGTGCAAAACTCCGTACGTCCCTATGAAGCTAATGCTTAGGGACAATACAAAATTGGGAAAGCTATGGGCCTTGCCTTTGCAATGACAGCTGGGAGATAATGCAGGTCAATAGCTGTGGGACCCATTCATCAAAGCCGTGATCAAGCTCAGAAACCATGGGGATGTTTTCAAGTACATTTGTAAATGTGGAGACATGATTGTTTGGCACACTCTCTCTGTGGGTGAGTCGTGTTGATAGTCATTATTAAATGCTGTGTTTCATTGCTTCTGATTAGCTCTACTTGGAAACACAATTCCATGCAGCCTGCTTGGTGATCCTTCCCGGGAATGTATGCATTGATTTGTGGAGACTTGTTCCCCCAGCCATTCACTACACACATAGGTACCGAGTTAGAGTTACCACTAAAGTATGTAGGATACATGCTTCGTCTTTAATGAATTTACCATCTCATAATATAGAAGAGATACAAACATCAACATAGACATACCTGGAAAAATTTATAAGGGCAACATATTTACAAAATGGATTTAATCCTAAAAAATAAAATGGATTTATATGTTTTGATGTAGAAAGTGCTACATTTTATCTTAAGTGGAAAAAAGTCTCAACAGAAAGACAAAGCATATTTTACTTTTGTTAAAACAACAACAATAATGTATCTATGTGTATGTGAAAATAGATTAGCCTTATAAAAACAGAAAAGGTTTGGAACTGAGTACGGTGACTGTTAATTCTGAAAGGTGGGACTGGAAGGTCAAAGGAGGGTTGAATTTTTAATTGGGAATATTCTTTGCCTTAGTGGATATGGTTGATTTTACCTTTATTTTTCTGCTTCTCTATATTTTCCAATAATTTTAAATTCAGGTTATAAGAGAAGTGAAGTGCATAAATATTTGGGAAAGACACAGATCACTTCAGCTGGAGACCAGAGAAGGCTTCTCTGGAGAAGGGGCCGAGAATGGGTAGGGTTTGAATAAGAAAGACCTGCAGAAAGGCCTTCCCCACAGACATGTGGGACAGTCTAATGGCATGGCTTTCTCAGAAACGACCAATATACATTGAATACAAAGATGCTGAATGGTCCTGCAATTAAGACACATCCTTAACTTTATTCAAATTAATTTAGCAATTCCCAGTACTGTGAGAGTGATTCTTTAAGAAGATGAGGGTTTACCTTGGCAAATATCTTTATAGGCAAAGGAACATGAGGTTAAGAAAGGAAGGAAGAAAAGGAAGGAAATGAGGGAGG